TGCAGGCACAACCCCCGACCCCCGCGCCTTATATTTTGACCTTTTGGGAAATTTAAGGGTGTTGGCCAAGGAGAAGTCCATAGGAGACAAAGGATGGGTGAGGCAGACTGGCCTGGTGCCAACATGGATGTTTGGTTAGTGACAGTACTATGCCACCAGTTTGCCTTGCCCTTTGCTTGTCTTTATTCTAGAGATAATTTCTTGTTCAAAGCCTTCCATGACAAGAGGGCAAGGAAAGCATACTATGAAAGTGTCTTGAACTATGCTTCACAGAGATGTCTCTCCAGGGGAGAATACTTACTTTGTGTTGGGAAACTGGGCTGTCTTCTGGCTACTTCCCTTCCTCCATGCTATTGTTTGAGATGGATAATTGGAGGATAGTCTTGAAATGTCTCCTTTACTCGATCCCCCCCGGGTTAAGCACTTTTTAAAGTTCTCATGTAAGCCCAGTAAGACTGGTATGTTGTTTCCAGATGAGACTTTGGAAACAAGGAGTTAAATAACACGACCAAGTTCTCACAGCTAATCAGAGTGGATCCAGAATTCACACCCAGGAAGTCTGACTCCAGAGTCTGCCCTCTTAGCCAAGCTGTCTTCTCAGGAAAGGGCCTGGCATGGGAGCCAGGGCATCTACATGGATTCTATTTCTCTGGTCCTTTGGTTAGCAGTGGTACTTCTTCATTGATAACTGGTACTTGTATTCTAAAATAGTTTTGAATAAAGAAAGGATCAGACCTAGAGCTTCATGGTCCTAAGTATACCTGACAGCTGTTAGGATAAGATGGATGTGTTTACTGATGGGCCTACTTGAGAGGTGGTGGCTCTTTTCTTTCTGACCTGTGACAGACAGTTCTCAGGTCTGTGATGGGCATGTATCTTCTGGCCCTTTGTCAGGTAGTAAAGAAATCACCAGAGCTATTCCATTAACAGAGTAGAAGATTATATCTGTTATACTTGCTATTTCTTGAATATCAAACACAATATTTAAAAATTAGTGTATGTAAAGTATAGCATAGGGAATATAGTCAATAATATTGTAATAATTATGTATGGTGCCAGGTGTGTACTTGAAATATCAGGGGGATTGCTTTGTAAATTATATGATTGTCTAACCACTATGCTGTATAGCTGGAACTAATATAAAATAATATTGAATGTCAACTGTAATTGAAAAACTAAAAAGTAAAAATTAGTGTATGATATACAGAGAAGGCTAGAACTTATTCAACACAGTCATGCTTTCAAACTGTTAATATTTCACCTCTGCACCTTTTAATGTTAAATTTGGGTTTCAAGGCAGGCTTGCATTCTTTGGCCTCTGTCTTTCAGAAGTCTTCTGGGAAGTGTTTTTATTGTAGAGACTGGCACTTAATCTTTGTACTCAGTGCTTTGAAGTTGGTCTTTGTTTCTGTATCTGTGCCCTTTGTTTTTGGGTTACTGATGTATGATTGTAAAGAATTACCTTTTATTATGATTTTCAAGATAGTAGCTTAAAAAAGAAGCCCAGTTATGAATATCAATACAATTTGAGTCAAAATTGGATATGTTTTAATAAGCTAATCCAATTCAACTGTTCTTTGACAACATATAGATATTTTTAGGAATTTCCTGAGCTTTTATTATTTCAGGCTTTCTCTTCCTAAATTTCATTTCTCTAAATTAAATAAATGTAGTCAGTATTTGAGAGCATCTGTGTGCCATGCACTGTGCTAGACATTTTAAATATTTCTATGTGCTTGCCACATGGTAGGCCCTGTCTTAAATACACTTGGGATATAGCAGTAAACAAAACCACAAAAATTCTTTTAGATTCTGGTGGAAAAGTGACAGATAATAAATGAATGCCTGCGGTAGATGGTTATAAACACAAAAATAAAGCAGCAGTGAGAGAAGGGAATGTCAGGCAGGCTTGGCTGCAGTTTTAAATGCTGGGGCCTGGCGTGCCTTTGCCAGGAAGCCTTTGTGGGTAGCTTGGTGAATAAGATGGACCCTGTCCTCACAGAGCTTAGTGGGCAAAACTGCTTCCTGATGAGCACCTGCCATGAGGGTAGGGGCTCTGCTAAGTGACTGTGTACATTTCCTCCTAATCTGTTGAACTAGAGGATCTTACGGCCAGTTTCTCCAGAAGGGAACTGAAGCTTTGAGAATCAAGTAAATTGCCAAGACAAATATGGCTGGTGGGACCTAGATCTGACCCAAAGCCCATGCACTTAAACATGGTGTTTTTGCTAAGTCAGCTCTCGAAATATTTGTTACGGAGGAGTTAGCCAACTTTGGAGATAAGGCTACCTGAATTTTGGTTGTGATGGGCTGCTCAGTAACTTGGCTGACTCAGGAGAGTCTTGTGTTGTTACCATCAGCCTCCTCTCTGCCCTTGTGCCTTTTCTATTTAAAAGGCCTTGGGCTTGTGCCCTGGCCACAGGAGGCAGGGGAGCTGCCTGGTTACCAATTTCCATGCAGCGGGATGTGTTTGTTGTGTGTCAGAGAGTGGCCTCTCATGACTCCAGCAAATCATTGACTACTTGAATTTCTGGCACTGCATTTCAGTGATAGGACACTAATTTGGCTGGCCTATGTATCATTATGCTCAAGAGCACATTATAAATGCCCATATTTAGAAGGGAATGTAAAGTGAGGAAAGGTTATAGTGCCAAGTTCACTGATTATTGTGCCTGTTTATGACAGAATAGGCCATACCTTGTATTTACAGCGATTGTGTTGACATCATAAAAAGCAAATAGTAAATGAGTGTGTTAGATTAGAGACCTTTCTACAGGGCTGTGGGAAGTCTGGGGTTCAAGAGAGCTCTGTGGTTCCTTCTGCCCTCAGTGTGCTTATGATAACATTCAACACAAAGAATCCCACTTTTAATAGGGTAGTGATTTTTCAGCCTAGTATGTCCTTTGCATTGAGCATTGCTTGTTCTTTTGTGCTTTGGCTAATTTAATATCCGAGGTATGTATGTTGGTCATTCATCTAAAAAAGAAGCTATATATTTCACAACTCTATGTGCTATATTTCATTGTTAGTTTCTAGTGATTTTTGCTCCCATTGACTACTTCCAAAATTAAATGTTAATTTTTACAAGGTGGTTTTCTTTTTTTATTCAAGAGATAAACTATGATTTGAGCACGTGGGCTGTGAAATTCTATTTATTTACATACAGAAAGTTTGCATATTATAAGTGTACAATTCAAAAGCTTTAGAGATGAACACACTTGGGTAGTCAGCTTCAAGATCAAAATACAAGAAATTATCAGTGTCCTAGAAACCCCCAGATTTTTTCAATCGCTTCCCCTATCTCCCCCCACAAGGGTAATCACTATCCTGACTTCTAACATCCTGTTTCTGTTTTGCCTGTTTTTGTACATGGTATGAATGATTGATAATAATCTGTATACTCTCTGTGTCTGGATTATTTTGTTTCCCATTTGTGAGGTTGAACCATAGGGCTGCATGTGGTTGCAGGTTGTTTATTCTAATTATTATATAGTATTTTACTATGTGGCTATTCCATAATTTATTCATTCTACTGTTAAAGAAATATGTTAGCTTCCAGTTTATTTTATTATAAGTGGTGCTTCTATAAATGTCATATATGACTTAAGGTGAACATACATAGGCATTTCTGTTGGGTATATGCCTAGGAGAGGAATTACTGGGTCATAGAATATGCATATATTCAGCTTGAATAGATACTACTTAGTGGGTTAAAAGTTAGAGTAGTTGTACCAATTTCTATTTTCACAGTAGTGTGAGAGCTTGTAAATTTTATTTTTGATATGCTGTTTTGGGGGTAGATGGGAGGTGCAATGTTTTTCTTAGGTTCATTTCAGTTCAAGTTTGTTTTATGGAAAGGAATGGTCATAGCTGTCTCACTGATTCTTTGAAAGGTAAATATGTGTGCTCATTTTCCTACCCCTTTCTTTCTGTCTGTGTCTTCTATGTGTTCTATATATATCTTACAAATAACATGTGTATGTATGTTTTATCTTACAAATATACTACTTACAGACTCTTAGACTGAAAAACCACCTTAGAAGTCATCCAGCTCAGGTTTCTAGAGTCTCTCAGAATTCACGATGATCCTGCTTAAGTGTCTCTAATGACCGAAAGCACATTATTTTAGGGCAACCTAAATCCCTTTTATTAATTAACTCGTGCTGTTGCTTCTTCAACATTGTGGTGACATCTGCCTATTTTTCTTTTCTCCTAAATGTCATGTCCTTTTATAGGTAAGGGGGAAAACCCCGATGATTCTTGTAATAGAGCAAAATCTCTTTAGGGGTGATTCACTGCTATTTTTTAAACTTTACTTCTCGACATCTTCAGAGTCTTGATCTCTGAGCAGTTTGCTCCCAGGAACTAGAGTGAAAAAGCCCATGTGGACAATAGAAAAGAGAACTCAGTGCATAACTGCTTTTTTCCCTCTCCTGTTTCCTGATTTTTTTCCTTCCATGAGCACATATTTTTCCTTTTTAATAGGGTTTTTAAACATTGTTTAAAATAAATACAAAAAATGCTACTCTTGCTGGTGTGGCTCAGTTGGTTGAGCAGTGTCCCACGCACCAAGAGGTTCCAGGTTCGATTCCTGGTCAGGGCACATCCCCAGGTTTCGGGCTCTATCACCAACAGGGGGAGTGATGTTTCTCTCTCATATCAATGTTTCTCACTCTCTCTTCCTCTCCTTTCCTTTCTCTACAAAAATCAATTAAAAACATATTTAAAAAAATACAAAAGATGCAAATGTATTTTAGAAACCAAATTGTAATGAATGAAATGAGAAAAATACAGCCTTTTTATAGAAACTGATCATTGTATTTCATGAAATCAGTGAATATAGAAAATTTTTTCTGATGGATAGCATGTAGTCTGAGGTTTATGAACTTCCAAGTGGTATTAATATTCATAGAACTTTAGAATAAAAATGAGCTTCAGTTAATAATTAATAATTTAAAGTTCTTAGATATTAATAGATATTTTTTCTTTTTTCTTTACAGGCAAGAAGAGACTGATAGGAGAGTGAAAAATGTAAGATACATTTAATGGAATATTATAGATGGTTTTTTACTTGCTCTGTAATAAGGCCGGGGATCTAAAAATATCTGATATACTCTGTATCTTTTTTCTAATGAAATTTTTGCTAGAAACCAACCAGTCACAAACTCTAAATATGTTAAAATATGATTAAAACATATTTTCTGACTTCATGGTAATAAAAGGACAGTTTAAACTTAGAAAGTGGTTCCTTACATGTTAGTAATGTGGAGAAGGCAAATAAATGCACATTAGGATTTTTAGGGGAGTAAGTCAGAAACCACCAAATCAGACTTTAAGGAAAAACACTGAATGTTTAAGAACTTCAGGTAATTGTTCTGTGTGGGCTTGTATAGCATCTATAATATTCTATATGCATTAGAAGAATTTCCAGTGTGACAGCATATTAAAAACATAAGAGCTCCATATCCTTAAGAAAGCTGAGAATTATTGATTTTAAGTGTCCATTTTCTGAATTTGATGTTGGAAAAATATTGATTGCTTTAAAAGTTTAATGTGTTTTCCTCTTATAATTTCCCCCCCTCTTTATATGTACTAGTAGAATGTATTAAATACCTGTTGGGATCTGGGCTTTTGGTCTGAGAATGTGCCCAGAGACAGAAATCTAGGAAGAGTAAATAACATTTTTTTTTTTTTAAGGATTTCTCCCTTTATTTTTTATTTTATTTATTTTTTATTTTTATTTTTTAAAAATATATCTTTATTGATTTCAGAGAGAGGAAAGGAGAGGGAGAGCGCTCGAGAGAAACATCAATGATGAGTCATTGATCGAGCCCACAACCCGGGCATGTGCCCTGACCAGGAATCGAACCCCGATCGCCTGGATCCTAGGTCGACGCTCAACCACTGAGCCACGCCCAGCCGGGCTAAATAACATTTTTAATGACGCTTCTCCTTCCCATAATTTAAAAGAAAATCTACTTTCAGCCATAGATAGATATGCTCTTTGATCTAGAGTGCTGCCTGCACTTGAGCTTGCAGTTAGTTGCTATAAATAGACTGATCTTTTTGTTTTGTGGAATTTTTTTGAAAGGTTTTGATAACATTGTACTGGCTGGGAAGAAAAGCACAAAGTAACCCCTACTATAATGGCCCATATCTTAATTTGAAGGCATTTGAGAATCTTTTGGGACAAGCTCTGACTAAGGTAAGGAAACTACCTCTGTATGAGATGACTACTGTAACTAGTCATCTCTTCCTTCCCTCCGCTCTTCTGTTTCCTTCCACTTCATTCTTCTCCTTCTCTGTAGGGAATATGGAAACTGACCATCTTTGCTCTGGTCTAGATTAGGCTGGGTAGAGAGGATTGTTGGCGGGCTTTGTGTGCCACTACCAGGGAGTGAGTGAGTCTATTTCAGAGCAGTTTCTAGGGTATAGGCTATAGGTTTAGGTATTTATCTCTTAATTCTAGGTTACTTGATGGCATAGTCATTCGTTTCCATTCTTAGACACTTTGTATACCTTAACTCTATGTTCATTATGAATTCAGCTTGCAGTAGAAAAGTTCTTCAGGGCTATTAAAATATATGGAAGCAACTCAATTTTTTATCTTAATGTCTTGGATGATTTCCTCTAATGCCTATGCTTCAATATCTCCTCAATTCTGCATACTGCTTCTGTTTCCTAAATGCAGTCACATGAACTGGTGAATGCAGTCACGTGAACTAAACATGACTGTAGTTCTGCCAAATCTTCATTTATCAGATCCAAATGGGAAAGTTAACTTCTCTTAGGGGATATTTAATCTAGGGGAATTTGCAATGCTCAGGAGAAAATATGTAGTCAAAATAATATATCACCATCTAATTAATTATAGTTGCTCTATGGGTTTTTATGATGATTAAATGATACTATACCAATAAGCATTTTATCGCTAGTCTCTAACACATTGTAAGGATGTAATAAGTGTTAGTTATCTTGGATGGAAGATAGAAATTTTAGACCAGGATGAAATGATCACCTGGCCTTACATTTTCCCTGATCTTTAGTTTTGCCTTAGTTCAATCTCATACATTAAAGAAAGATAGGATTATATAGTCTAGAGGATTTAGGTCTTTCTTTTAGATTTTCATTATTTTTGAACTGTAAAGAGTTTGTAGCATTCTATTCAAATTCCTTGAAGCAGGTTAATTCCAATAATATTTGAGATACTATCATACACAAGCATTGTACCAGGTGTTGGAAAAACCCTTACACAAGGCAAATGATCCATCCTCATGGAGGACAATTGTCTGTTGGAGACAGATAAGCAGATAAGTCGCTGCAGCAGAGGAGGGAAAGGCTGATGGAGGAATGTCCAGGGGACTTTGGGCACCATCACAGCTTTGCCTTACTTATGTCAGCTAAGAAACCATCCAGTTAAAAACAGTATGGGACTTTGCCTCCTGTATTAGTGTTGTCTTAACAGCCCTGGTCCTATTCATGGCAGTCTGACTCAGGCTGAATAATCCTGGTGCAGTGTTTGTCCTGGGAGTGCTTTATTAAAGGCTATTTCCTGTCACCAGTGTGAAATCAAAGTAGGTAAAAAATTTTTGATTGTTAAAAACCGTAGGTGTGGTTTTATTCCATTATCATAGAGTGGGGATAGCCATGAGAGGTGTGTGAATCTATGATCTGCTTTTCGTCTATTCTGTTAAAATAAAAACCACTGTGTTCATCAAACTTTCTAACTTAAGTAGATAATGCTTAGTTGGCCAATCCAAGATATCAGTTGAAAAAAAATACTTCGGATAAGCTGTTGCACTCTAGTCACCCTGTAAGTGGGAGGTGACTCAGGTGACTTGTCAGAGTGAAGTCCTACATGACCAGGCACCAGGGCCAGACTCAGGTTCTTTTATAACAATGGTGGCCTGTTATAAATAACTAACATGTATGAGGTCAAAAGTCATCTCACTGTGTATTGAGGACCCTATGGCTGCAACAGTATGCCTAAGAAACCTGGTGGATCAAAAGATTTACTTAAAAATTTTACTATTTTTATGGTTTGAGACATACCTAGATGGTACCAGCATTAGGCCTAGCTTCTCCATTTGCTTGGAAATAGGGTACAAGGTAGGTGCTTGCATTTTCATGACAGGACATCAACCAGTTTGTCTGGCATCCAAAGCATATAAAAATCTCCCATAAACCTACTAGACCTTAGTGGTTCTTCAAACACTTGCCAAAAAATTCAATGAGGAATTGACAAATCCAGCCGTAGCCAAAAGTATGCCCGAGAAAGCTGCTGATTATTCGTTGTAAACATTATTTTGTCAACTTTTTCATAGTGAGAATGTTCATAATTAAAAATGGAAAGAATACAACAAATATATACCATCTGACTCAATTATTAAAAATTTCCCATATTGACTTTATCTGTTTATGTATTTATTCATCCACCTGTTTTATTTAATCATTTCAAAGTAAATTGAAGAGATCTTACCCCTAAATACTCAGTGTGCATGTCTTAAGAGTAAGATTTTTTTTTTGTATATGGAGATTCTTCCATATAGCCACAATGTCTATTATACTTAAGAAAATTCATAAATATTCCCCATTATCTGATGCCCAGTCCATATTCAAATCTTCCCAATTATCTCCCAATTCCGCTTCATAGCTTTTTTATGTGAATCGTGATTTAATTGAGGTTCACATATTACATTTGGTGGTTGGGAATCTCTAGGTTCTTTAAACTATCTGTGTTTTAATAAAGTCATCTGAAGGTAACATCCCTGATTTTTAGTATAATAACAGTTACATTCACCATATTAAATAATTAGAGTTTAGCTATTCATTGATTATTACTCTGTGTCATGACTGTGCGAAAGGACTTATAAGTTTTACTTAAATCCTAATTTTAAGAAGTCCAGCTGTATTTTACTATTTACTTTCATAGAGGAATATTAGTTAAAAACACTTATTTTGAGTAAGTCTGTATGATTTACAAACCTATGGTTAGTGACATTTGCCATATTTCTGTATATCTCTTACATGAGCCAAACAAATATTTTGTTTGGGTCCAGGGAAAATATTTTGTACGTGGGCAACCAAGTCTGCTTTTCTTGGTTCAGATCTAGGTTTCATAATCAGTGAAAATAAATAAATTGTGTGACATGTATACCTGCTGTAGTTGCCTCTCTCTTTTTTAAACTTTTTGTTAAAGAGCTTGACTGTTATGTTTTTGTTTTGTTTTGTTTTGTTTACTATATATCACCTGAAATATTTGCTGAAGGTAGGCTGAGTATAATTAATTAGTTTACCTTCTTTTGGATATCAATGTCAAGGCTGATTTTTCTTCGACTCCATTCATACTTATTGCCAGATAACTCTAAATAATTATTGATTTTAGTATATTTAATTAGTAGCTTTTCTTATTAAAATGTTCCCCCTTCCTTATTTTTATATAGGCTATACTACTTTATTAAATGATATTGAACACTTCCTTATTGTTACATGAGGACCAACTCTTAGTTGTGGGAAAACATTTATTTTCTGATTTAAAAAAAAAATCAGATTTTTTTGATTAAAAGGGAAACCTCATTGCCTCACGTGTGAAATGAAGCACAACTTGAGCTATGCAAACAAACAAGTAACGACTGATTACAGTTTTGGAATTTTATGCTAACTTACTATTCTTTAAAACAATTCCTTTAGGCTCTTGAAGACTCCAGCTGCCTGAAAAGAAGCGGCAGGGACAGTGGTTACGGTGATATCTGGTGCGCTGACCGGGGAGAGCTTCCCGTCGCTCCAGGCAGCCACAGGAGAGAAGATTCATTTGAAAGCTTGGACTCACTGGGGTCTCGGTCATTCACAAGCTGCTCCTCTGACATCACGCTGAGGGGTGGACGTGAGGGTGAGCTGCAGTTTATTTATATTTTACATGTTGAAAGAAAGTTGGGAATGGGAGCGAGTAGAAAAAGGCGGTGAGCCCGCCCGTGCGGCGCGGTTGAGCGTTGTCCCAGCACAGAGAGGCCGCTGGGTCCATTCCCTGTCGGGGCACATGCCCGGGTGGTGGGTTCGATTCCCAGTAGGGGCATGCAGGAGGCAGCTGATCAGTGTTTCTCTTTCATTGATGTTTCTCTCTCCCCCTCTCCATTCCTCTCTCTCTAAAATCAATAAAAACATTTTAAAAATGAGGTGAAAACTGTTGAGGCAAAAATTTCACTAAGAAGTGGATTTTCATAGAGACTTAAGTATAATTTTTTTTTTTTTTAATTTTTCCTCACTCACTGTATCACCACTAGAGGGGTGATGGTTTCACTTTTTTTTCTTCCCGTTTTTAGAGAAGACAAGAAGAGGCAGTTAACCGTGATCTGTTTTATCAGTGATAATGTATTTTGATTCTTTCCTCTCTAGATTCAGGTTTAATAATCTTTGTCAGTGAGGCCTATTATGTATATCTAGACATAAAAAAATCCTAAAAAGTCTGTCCTAGTTCCTAAGTTAATTTCTTTCTTCCCTTCTCTTACTTCTTGAGAAAAAAAATATTTCTCAAGAAAACAGAACAGGAAAAACATCTTTTTAATGCTTTCTAAGAGAAGAAATGATTGATATCTATCATGATATAATATGATGCTAAAGTTTGGTTAAGTAACAATATGAGCATGGTGTTAGAAAACACCTTTTGATTCTGTCAGGGTCAGAGCTAATCCAGGGCAGAGTAAGTATGTAAGGAACATGTTAATGGAAGTCATTCTGTTTTGGGGAGGAACCTTCTTTCAAAACACCAATATCATGGTCGAATCAATCATTTAAATCCAAGTCTTACTCCTGTGGCTGTTGGTTGGTCTGAGAAATTTCTAACTGTATTCCTCTAGCAATTCATATTTGACTAGATTGGAACCACCAGTCAAGTTGCTTCAAACATTTCTGTGCTTCTACCATTAACATGAAAAAAATTGAGAGTTTGTGCTAGATTGTTAGGAATTTTACTTGTTCATTTTGATTATTTTTTTAATATTAAGCAATTTTTCTAACATTTTTATTATAAAAAATTTTCAAACATCATCAAAGTTTGGAAGAATTTTACAGTGAACACACATGTACCCACCACCTAATTCTATCATACCATTTTCCTATGCCTGCTTCACCACATACCTGTGCCTATCTCTCTGTGCATTAATTTATCCATGTTTTTTTTTTTGAGGTGGTTCAGAATACATTACACTTGTACTATAAATACTTCAGCATGCACATCAGTAACTGGAATTCAATATTCTTATGTAAATGTATGTAAATGAAATGTACAATGAATTTGTTTTTCAAAACTAAAAATCAGCAGATTGTTAAGCATGGTCACAGAAAAATTCTTTAGCTTTCAGAGTAATGGCAGTTAAAAATTATCAGTAAAAAACATGAATAGCTATGGAAGAGTTAACCTTTATAATTACTGCTGCACTTGTTGGCTGTTTGCTATTTAGATGTGACACTTTTATAGTCTAGATGACTATTAGAATAGTTTAAGGACATGAATCTGATTTATAATTTATCTAAGTAGATTAAAGCTGTGAAAACAGGCTGAAATTCTGAACTCATTATATTACTTTGTCCTGACTGAAAAAGCTAAAACATTTAAATTTTTTAAAGTTTAAATTTTTACCTGTCCAACATACAATAAAAGGGAGAAAGACTGAGGCATTGTGGGAATATGCAGACTTGAGACAATTCAAATGCAGTGGTCCTGTGGGGTGGAATAGTCTTCTCAGATACTCATTGGACTGGGTGCCTGGACACCTGACCAAAAGCAGTGGGCCACTGTCACACTGCTTCCTGATTTTGGGAAAGGAGTTACAGACCTTGTTTAAAGAGTATGGAAGTAAACACTTGGTAATTATAACTAAGATGTAATAAAAAAGCCTGGGGCTACTAGGATGATAAGCTCTTTTCTGTGATTAGTGTATTAAAATTCTGCTACCCACCAAGTTATAGTCCAAAATTGATGGTCACCGCAACTTAGGATAATGTTTTTAGGTTAACAGAATTGCCAAGTCAAATTCCTTAATTTTATATGAAACCTCCTATAGCAAGAATAGTCGCCTCCTCTATAGGGCACTGTACTAGACTCAAAAATAAAAAAAAATAACTTTAAAAATTCACATAATGTACAACATGATGACTACAGTTAAAACTTATTGTGGTAGTCATTTCAAAATACATGTAAGTCAAATCATACTGTACACCTTAAACACATACACTGTTGTATATCAATTATACCTCAATAAAAATGGGGAGAAAATTCCAGAGTAGAACAATCTTTTTGTGTGTTTAAGGTTTTACATGTACACATTTTGCCAAGAAATAAAGACATTTCTAAAAAATGTACTGTTTATGTAGGAGGTGGTAAAAACAAACGAAGCACCGGATTATTGACTATAAATCCTCCTGGTGAGAGCAGCTTAAATTTCTCCCATTTCTCTGTGGCTCTCCTTTACCCTGTGCAGATCTCATGGTCACGTAGCTGGATGTGAAACTACTTCCTGTAGGCCATTCCCAGTGTTATTTACTGTAGATTCCTGCCAGGCACGAGGGAGGAGACCAGTGCCTTTAGCTCAGGTTAACCCTGCAGGCGCTCTGCACAGCCAGCCTCAGAGAGCCCTGGGGGGAAGCAAGCCGCATTAGCAAACTTTCTTTACAAATACATAGAGGCAGGAAGGAAAAAAGTGCAGGAAAGGGAGACAGCTTGGTTTGGATCTGTAGTAGTGTTCTGTGCCTCTTTGTCTTTCAAAGAGCACATTTTTTTATTTTTAAGAGAACGGATTGCCTTTGTATCATTCTGACCTTGAGGTGTATCAAGGTCTATTCTTTTGAATTTGTGTTTAAAGGACTTTATATCAAAAATATAATTTCCATGGCCACCCTTAGAAAAAACTTGACGCCTGTGTTCTCATTTAGGTATGAGACTTGACATTCCTTTGGGACTTGAGAAGTCATCTGGTCCAGTCTCATAGCTAATGTGTGATTCTTGCTGATAGGGATCTCCGAAGGCTCTACCAACCCCCTCTAAGACCTCTCGTACTTTTTGCCTCTTTTTCTATGTCTCCCCTTACCTCTTGCCTCACAGAAATTTTACATGGCTGCATGCTTTATTTTAAATACCTGTCTCCCTAGAATTACCTTTATATCTTATTTTAAGTATCTTTTATTGACATGTATTATTAGGTTTTCTTGCCATGGATTCCATTAGCAGGGTCCAGTTGTACACTGGGACTTTTTCTGCTTCGAGTGTGCCACAGTGAAAGAATGTACCGCACTCGCCTCCAGTATGCAGAGCAAGTTCCTCCGAATGGATCTTATCACAACTTCATGACAAATTCTAAAAATATTCCCCGCAGTTAGCTGTAGGGAAAGGCGAAGCAGGCATGCTGTGTGGGTTTCGGCGAGACGAATAATCTGGAGAGGAAAGCCAATTCTTGTGCCTTTTTTCACAGGTTGCGAAAGTGACACAGATTCTGAATTTACATTCAAAATGCAGGATTATAACAAAGATGATATGTCCTATCGAAGGATTTCGGCCATTGAACCAAAGTCTGCTTTACCATTCAATCGTTTCTTACCCAACAAAAGCAGACAGCCATCCTACGTGCCGGCGCCCTTGAGGAAGAAGAGGCCGGACAGAAACGAGGACAACAGAAGAAGCTGGGCAAGCCCCGTGTACACAGAGGCAGACGGGCCGTTTCCAAGGTACTGGGATGCGATCTGGTAACTGCCTTTGGAAATTTCCTGAGCTTGTGAATTTGCTAGGATAGTTCAGTGTGGTAAAAGGAATGGTTCTTAAGCTGTGTTTCATAGATAATGTTTTAAACTTCATTGATGAAAACGTTTTCCCCTATCTTTTTAGGCATACGTATCTGTTTCTTCCTTTAAAACTGTCAGCGTATGATTTACTGGTTCTTTTCTTAGATGCCTGCCTGTTAGCCCTATTGGTCTCTTTCAGCTTACCGGGTGACTTATGTTATTTCTTGTGAGCTCAG